AGGTAAAATTAAAATATAAACTTCAGGATGCCCAAAAAATCAAAATAGATGCTGATATAAAATAGGGTCACCACCCCCAGAAGGGTCAAAAAATGAAGTATTTAAATTTCGATCAAATAATAATATAGTAATTGCACCTGCTAATACTGGTAAAGACAATAATAATAAAATTGCTGTTAATAATATAGCTCAAGAAAATAAAGAAATTAATTCAATTTTATAAATTTTTATATTTAAAATTGTAGTAATAAAATTAATTGAACCTATAATTGAAGAAACCCCAGCAATATGTAAAGAAAAAATTGATAAATCTACAGAAGGACCCCTATGAGATAAATTTGAAGATAATGGAGGATACACAGTTCAACCTGTTCCTGTACCTGTACCAATAAATATTCTTGATAATAATAATATTAATCTTGGCGGTAATAATCAAAATCTTATATTATTTATACGAGGAAAAGCTATATCAGGACTTCCTAATATTAATGGAATTAAATAATTACCAAAACCTCCTATTATTACAGGTATAACAAAAAAGAAAATTATTAAAAAAGCATGTCTAGTAACAATAGAATTATAAATTTGATCATTACCAATTAATGAACCAGGATTACCTAATTCTAAACGAATAATTATTCTTATTGATAAACCTACAATTCCTGCCCATATTCCAAAAATAAAATACAAAATACCAATATATTTATGATTTGTTGAAAAAAATCAAAATTTCATATTTTATATAGTTTAAATTAAAACATTATATTTTCATTATAAAAATAATAATTAATTATTTATAAAATTTTATCATTTAAAAATATAAATATTATCTTAATATCTTCAATATTAAATTTTAAATTAAACTATTTAAATTTTAAATAATAATTTAAAAAATAAATATAAAATTTATATTTTATTTTAAATTATAAACTTAATGATTAATAAAGATAATTTCAAATTATATAATTTATTCTATCAAAATAACCCTTTTATCAGGCACTTTATTAGAAATAAAAATAATTTTAATTATTTAATATTGAATTAGAAATTCAATTTTTATTATTTCTAATAATAATAATAATATTTTAAAATAAAATTTTAAATTAATTGGAATTTTAAATTCAATAAAATTATTAACAATAATTCACCTCTAATTTGGTTTCAATTAAAAATTTAAATTTTAAGTTTAAATTAATATAAAATTAATATATTTAAATTTGCAATTTAATATTTTTTTTAAATTATTAAACATAATTTATAATTATAATTATAAAACATAATAAGTTTATTTATATATATATATATATTAATAATAAATAATATTATATATTATAAAATATTATTAAATATATTAAATTTAATAATAATAATATTAATAAAATTAATAAACTAAATAATATACTAATAAATAAAGAAATAATCAAACTACATCCACAAAATGTCAATATCAAGCAGCAGCCTCAAAACCAAAATGATGAACACTTGAATAATTATTATATATAATTCGAAAAAAATTAATAATTAAAAAAATAGTTCCAATAATTACATGAAGACCATGAAAACCAGTTGCTATAAAAAAAATTGAACCGTAAACTGAATCAGTAATTGTAAATATTGCTTCCTGATATTCAATATATTGAAATAAAGTAAAAATAATTCCTAAAAAAATTGTAATAAATATTCTAATTAAAGACTTAAATTTTATTCGATTTAATAAAGAATAATGACCTATAGTTAACGAAACTCCAGAAGATAATAAAATTACTGTATTTAATATAGGAATTAAGTAAGGATTAAAAATAACAATATTTTTAGGAGGTCATAATGAACCAATTTCAACTCTTGGAGATAAAAATATATGAAAATAACATCAAAAAATTCTAATAAAAAAAAATAACTCTGAAATAATAAACAAAATTATTCCTAATTTTACTCCCTCTAAAACTTTATTAGTATGAAAACCTTGATAAGTTCTTTCTCGAATTACATCACGTCACCATTGAAATAAACATATAAATAAAGATAACATACCAAAAATTATTAATAAAGAACTGAAATTATTAAAAAAATTTATAAACCCAACTAATATAATTATTACCCTAAAAGAAGTAACAATAGGTCAAGGCCTCAAAGTAACTAAATGAAAAGGTTGAAATAAATCAATTTTTTTCATAATTAATATTTAATTAGATAAATAAAAATTAAAATTATTATTATCTTGTTTCTGCACTATATAATGTTCTTAAAACTGTAAATACATAAGCTTGAATAATTGAAACACTTAATTCTAATAAAATTAATAAAGTTTGAGATAATAGTATTATTAATAATATTAATATTCTTAATCTTGGTCCTGTAGAAGAAATTAAAGTTATTAATAAATGACCTGCAATCATATTAGCAGATAAACGAACTGCTAAAGTTCCAGAACGAATTAAGTTTCTAATAGTTTCAATTAATACTATAAATACTATTAAAGCTGAAGGAGTACCCTCAGGAACTAAATGTATAAATATATGATTTGTATTAACAATTCATCCATATAATATAAATGATAATCATAAAGTTAATGATAAAGTTAAACTAAAAGTTAAATGAGCTGAAGAAGTAAAAATATAAGAAAATATTCCTATAAAATTATTTAATATAATAAAAATAAAAATTCTTATTAAAAATAAAAGATTTATTAAATTTCTTTTAATATTTAATAATATTTTAAATTCACCAATTAAATAATTTAATAAAGTTAAAAAAATAAATCTATAACGAGAAGGAATAAATCAATATAAATTTGGAATAAATAATAAAACATACAAAGATCTTAATCAATTTAATGAATATAATTCAGAAGTAGTGGGATCAAAAATAGAAAATAAATTATTTATCATAAAAATTTAAAATTATTATTATTTAAAAAATTTAATTTATTTAATATTAAATTTTTAAAAGAGAAAGATAATAAATAATAAATTAATAAAATTGATAATCCTATTAATAATAAAAAATATAAATAAGTAAATAATCATAATATTGGTCTTATTTGAGGAATAAATTTATAAGTCAATTTAATTATATATATATATATATATATATATGTATATATATATATTAATAATAAAATTAATTTTAATTAAATTAATTTATAAAATAACTAGATATTAAATTATGAAAATATATTATTTCTAACTAAAAATTATTAATAATAATTAAATATTAATTAAAATTTTTAATTAAATTAATTTATTTCGAGAATTTATATTTTAAATAAATTATTTAATAAACCCTGATACAAAAGGTAAAATTAATTTAATTTTAATATTAAAAATTTTTAATTTTTCTTTCACAATACTAAAATTATAAAAATAATTCTTTTTTCTAAATTATATACTTAAAGATTAAAAATTTTATTAATATTTTAAATAAAATAATAAATTAAAATAAAAAAAAATTTAAATTATAAATTTTAAATTATAATAAATAAAATTTATTAAATTTTATGAAAATAATTATATTTTACAAGAATAATTTATCTAATAACTTTTATTAGCAAAATAAATATTATAAATTTAACTACATTCCTAAATATTTATATTTAAATTTATATTTATATTAAAAAATTTAAACTATATTATTGGAAATAAAATGTACTTTTTATACTATATAAATATTAAAAATATCTAAATTTACTTTCCAGTAAATTTACTTTGTTACGACTTATTTTATATATTAATAAAAGCGACGGGCAATTTGTACATATTTTAAAACTTATTCAAGATAATTAATTTATTAAATTTACTATTAAATCCTACTTTAATTAAATTTTTAAATTTAAAATTTTTAATTAAAAAGCAACTCAAAAAACCTTTTAAAAACTACATATTGATCTGAAATATAATTAATAAAATTTTTTAAAAATATTATAATTAAATTTTTTTATAACGAACATACATAAATATAAATTATAAAAGTCTGTCTTTTCGTGGATCATCAAATTAATCTTCAAGTTTCTCTAATCAGATTAAAATACCGCCAATAATTTTAATTTTAAAAATAAATTTACTAATTTATTAAAAATTTTAAATTTTAATAGTAGGGTATCTAATCCTAGTTTATTTTAAAATTTTATTAATTTCTTTAATAATTAATATTTATAATAAAAAATATAATTTAATTTTATCTTAAAATTATAAAATTTTATTAAATTAACATTAAAGTTAATAATTAATAAAAATAATTAATTTATATCTTTAGTATAACCGCTATTGCTGGCACTAAATTTATAAATATTAAATTAATTTATATTTAATAAATTACTAAAATAAATAATTTTATTTATTAAATATTTAAAGTTTTTTAAACAATTTTTATAAAAATTTATATATAAATTTCTTTTATTTTAAAAGATAATTAAATAAAATATATTAATTAATTAAAATAACTAAAATAATTATATAATTTTAATATAAATTATTAATCTTTTTTTTGTAAAAAAAAAATTTTTCTTAAACTAAAATTATTAAAATGGATTACATAATCAAAATTTCAAATCGAAATTGAACCTAAATTTTAGTTCATTTTATAAATAAATGTTAATTTTCAACTTTAAATCATTTTAAAGCTCCTTCTTTTCATTCCAAAAATAAACCAATTAATAAAATTAAAAAAATTAAAATAAAATTAAAATTTAATATAAAAATATAAATTGAATAACTTTTAATTATAGGTAAAATTAAAGAAATCTCAACATCAAAAATTAAAAAAATTATTGCAATTAAATAAAAACTTAAAGAAAAAGGAATTCGACTTTTTGAAATTGAATCAAAACCACATTCAAAAGAAGATAATTTTTCTCGATTTTTAAAAGATTTTTTTGATAAAATTAATATTGCTATAATTATAATTATTAAAATTACCATTGAAAAAATTATAAATAAAATAAATAAAATTATATTAAAAAATAATAAATATATTTTTGAATTATGAATCCAATGACTTAAACTTAGTCTATTTTTAATANTATATATATATATATATATATATATTATACACATTTAAATAAATAATAAAAAATATTAATAAATTAATTACTTTAACTTGACAAATTAATATTATAAATTAACTAATTTTTTAAAATTTCAATTGATATCTTAAAGTAAGATTTGATCTTTTAAATCAAAAATAGTAAATTTACGATTACTTCAATTGAATTTAAATTAATATTAATCCTTTTTAATATTAATAAAATTAAAATTTATAATGATTTTATTCAATTTAAAAAATTTAATAAATTTGTTCCTTCAATTACAATAGGTATAAAACTATGATTAACACCACAAATTTCAGAACATTGACCATAAAATAATCCAGGACGATTTAATATTATTATAATTTGATTAATCCGACCAGGAACTGCATCAACTTTAATCCCTAATCTAGGTATAGCAAAAGAATGAATTACATCAGAAGAATTAATTAATAAACGAATCTGATTATTTAAAGGAACAACTATTCGATTATCAACATCTAATAAACGAAATAAATTGTTATCATTTATTAAATCATTAATTATAAAAGAATCAAAATTAATTATATAAAAATCATTATATTCATATCTTCAATATCATTGATGACCAATAATTTTAATAGATAAAATTGAATTTTTAATTTCATCTGTTAAATATAAAATTTTTAATGAAGGAATAGATAAAAATAATAAAAATAATATTGGAATTAAAGTTCAAACAATTTCAATTAACTGTCCTTCTAATAAATTTCGATTAACTATTTTATTTATTAACATAAAAAATAATATGTATATAATTAAAACAACAATCATTAAAACAATTAATATCCCATAATCATGAAATATAATTAAATTTTCTATAATATAAGAATTTGCATCTTGTAAAATTAATTGACCATTTAATGAAATTTCTAAAAATAAATAAAATTTATATATATAGAATTTAAATCTATTGCACTAATCTGCCATTTTAGATTATTTTTTTATTAATTATAAAAAAATTAAAACATAACTAATATAATAATTATTAAATAAGAAAAAATTATTAACAAATATATTAAAAAATTATTATTTAAAATATTAAAATTATTAAATTTGTAAACATAATAATAAAAAGATTTTTTTAAGAATATTTCACTTCAACCTTTATCAAAGACTTTAAAAATTAAATTTCCAAATAATAAAAAAATATTAGTATAAAAAAAATTAAGATTTCTATAGTAATATATTGAACCAAAGAAAAATTTTATTTTATAATTAAATTTAAAATTAATCTTTATTTTAAATATTATTAATCCAAAAATAATAGAAATATAACAAATAATTAATAAAATTATTTTCTCAAAATCCAATAAATAAATATATTCAATATTATTAAATATTAATAAATTTAAAAACAATCCAAAATTAATTGAAAAAAACATTAATAATAATATTGAATAATTTATTTTTTTATTATCAGAAATATTAAAATAATTAATAAAATTAAATCTTTTACATATTAAATAATAAGATAAACGAACCCTATAAGATACAGTTAATATAGTTCTTAAAATTAATAAAAAATAAATATAAAAAGAAATATTTTCTAAAAATATAAACTCTAAAATCTGATCTTTAGAATAAAAACCTGAAAAAAAAGGTAATCCACATAATGAAAGATTTGAAATTATAAAAATTATTCTAGTTATTGGTATAAAATTTTTTAATTTTCCTATAAAACGAATATCTTGATAATTTAGTATATTATGAATAATAATACCAGAACATATAAATATTATCGACTTAAACATTGCATGAATAATTAAATGAAAAAAAGTTAAATTATAATTCTTTAAAGAATAAATTATTATTATTAAACCTAACTGAGACAATGTTGAAAAAGCAATAATTTTTTTTAAATCAAAGTCAAAATTAGCTGAAAATCCTGCTATTATCATAGTAATTAAACCAATTACTATAATAAAAGATAGAAAATAATCATTTAAATAAAAAATATAATTAAAACGAATTAATAAATAAACACCTGCAGTTACTAATGTTGAAGAATGAACTAAAGAAGAAACTGGAGTTGGGGCTGCCATAGCAGCAGGTAATCACACTGAAAAAGGAAATTGAGCTCTTTTAGTAAAAGAACCAACTATAATCAAAAAAATAATTATTAAATATATTCTATTATAATTTACAAAATTTCAACTTCCATAAATAAATATTAAACTAATTCTTATAATAATTATAATATCACCAACACGATTTATTAAAACAGTTAATATTCCAGAATTATAACTAGAATTTCTTTGATAATAAATTACTAAACAGTAAGAAGTTAAACCTAAACCATCTCATCCTAATAAAATTCTAATTATATTAGGACTTAAAATTATTAAAACTATTGATAAAATAAACAAAAAAACTAAATAAAAAAATCGAATATTATTTAAATCATGCCTTATATATTCTGATCTATAAAATATAATTATTGAAGAAATTAATAAGACAGTAAAAATAAATAAAAAAGTTATTCAGTCTAAATAAATAAATATATTAATATTAACTCTATTCAAAAAAAAAAAATTAAATTCAATAAATTTAACAATTTTTATTAAAAAAAAATAAATAAAAAAATAAAATATATTAATAGAAATTATAAAAAATAATACTCCTCTTAAATAATAATATAAAATTAAATTATATTTAAAATAAAAAATTATATTTTTGACACCACAAATCAATGTTTTTCTTTAAACTATTTAAATAAATAAAATATTATTTTATAAATATTATAAAATTTTATATAAATAAATCTATTTTTAAAAATAATAAATTTAAAGGAATATAATGAATAATTAAAACTAAATAATCATTAATTTTGATTTCATAAATTTTATTAATTAAATTATTATTTATTCCATGACTACAATAAGAAAATAAATATAATCTATAAATACATCTTAAAAATATTGTAATAATTAAAATTAATAAAATATTTAAAGATCAATTTAATAAAACATTTGAAATTAAAAGTTCTCTTAATAAATTTAATGAAGGAGGAGAAGATATATTACAAACACAAAATATAAATCAAAATATTATTAATGAAGGTAAAAACATAATTATACCTTTATTAATTAATAAATTTCGTCTATGACTTCGTTCATATATTAAATTAACTATAAAAAATAAAGCCGAAGAACATAAACCATGACCAATTATTATTAAAAAAGATCCTATTAAACCAAAATTTGTTAATGATATTAAACCCATTAATATTATTCCTATATGAACAACTGAAGAATAAGCAACTAATACTTTTAAATCAAATTGTCGTAAACATAAACATCTTAAAATTATTATTCCTAATAACCTTAATAATAAAAATAAATAATTAAATTTTAAACAATAATTTAAAATAATATATATAAAACGAATAATTCCATATCCACCTAATTTCAACATAATTCCAGCCAAAATTATTGAACCTGAAACTGGAGCTTCTACATGAGCTTTAGGTAACCATATATGAAATATAAATACTGGTAATTTTACTAAAAAAGAAAAAAATATAAAAAAATATAAAATAATTTCATTGAAATTATTAAAATTTAAATTTAAATTCAATAAAATTAAATATCTTAAAGAATTAAATTCATAAAAAATATAAAAAATTAAAATTATTAATGGTAATGAAGAAAATAAAGTATATAATAATATAAATATACTAGCATTTAAACGTTCTGGCTGATACCCTCATCCTATAATTAAAATAAAAGTAGGAATCAACCTTATCTCAAAAAAAATATAAAAAATAAAATAATTTATTGAATAAAAACTTAAAATTAAAAACATTAATAATAATAAAAGATTAAAACTAAAAAATGATTTACTTTTAACATTTAAACTTACTATATATATTAAACAAATAATTAAAATTGATAACAAAATTAAAGAAAATCTTATTATATCTAATCCAAATCATTTATATAATAATATCCAAGAATAATTAAAATTAATAGAAATTATAAAAATTGGAATAATTATTAATAAATTTAAAAAAATAAAATATATCTTTATATTATTATGATTAAAAATAATATGAAAAATTAATATAATTAAAAAAGTTAAAAATTCTATCATAAAATTAAATTTATTAAATATATATTATTATTACCAAATGAACGAATTAATAAAATTAATAATCTTAATCCTAAAACTCCTTCACAAACTACAAAAATTAAATAATATATCATTAAATGTAAACTTTTAAAATAAAAAAAAAAAAAAAAAAAAAANTAAATTCAACTCTAATTAAAGTCATTAATAATTTATTATAAAAAAAAATAAATATAAAATTTGAAAATAAAAATATTAAAATAAAAAAATAAATATTTAAAAAAATTAACTATTAATTTAAATAAAATATTAATCTTGTAAATTAAAAATAAAATAATTTTTATAGTTATCAAAAAAATAATAAAATTATATCTTTAATCTCCAAAATTAAAATTTTAAATAAACTATTTTTTGATTTTATAATATATGATAAAATTTATTACTATATACATAATTTTTATATTATTAATATCATCCTCAATTAACTTAATAATTAATATAATTTCAGCTTATAATAAAAATTTACATCCAATAATTTTTGGATCAATATTATTAATAATATCAATTTTTTCATCCTTAAATATTAACATTTTTAATGACTCTCCTATATTTAGATTTATTATATTTTTAATTGTAATTGGAGGAATAATAATTTTATTTTTATATTTTATTAGATTTGTAAGAAATATAAAAATAATAATAAAATGAATTTATATAAAAATAATTCCTATTAAACTTTTATTAATAATTATATTAATTTTAATCATATTAATTTATAAAAATAATTTATTAAATTGATTTTATATATTTAATGAGACAAATAATTTATTTAATATTAACTTAAATGATTTAATAACAAACAATATTAACTGTATATATATATACTTGAATATAAAAATAATACCTACAATTATTATAATAATTTATTTATTTATATGTTTAACTTTAATTGTAAAAATATTTATTAATAAAAAAATATCAATTCGTAAAATAAATTAATTATATGAAAAAATCAATTATAAAAACAGATTTTAATTTATCTATTATTAATAATTCATTAATTAAATTACCAACTCCTTTAAATATTTCAATTTGATGAAATTTTGGATCACTTTTAGGATTATGTTTAATAACACAAATTATTTCAGGATTTTTTTTATCTATACATTATAATCCAAGAATCGAAATAGCTTTTAATAGAGTTATTCACATTGTTCAAGATGTAAATTACGGATGACTTATACGTTTAATTCATATAAATGGAGCATCAATATTTTTTATTTGTATATTTATCCATATTGGCCGAGGATTATACTACAATTCTTTTATTTTAAAAAAAACTTGATTAATTGGAGTAATAATTCTTTTAATTACTATGGGAACAGCATTTATAGGATATGTATTACCATGAGGTCAAATATCTTTTTGGGGAGCTACAGTAATTACAAATTTAGTTTCAGCTATTCCTTATATTGGTGATTCAATTGTAAAATGATTATGAGGAGGATTTTCAGTAAATAATGCTACACTTAACCGATTTTATTCAATTCACTTTATTTTACCTTTTGTAATTTTATTTATAGTAATTATACATCTAGTATTTTTACATGAAACTGGATCTACAAATCCATCTGGATTAAGAAGAAATTATTTTAAAATTCCTTTTAATCCATATTATTCTATTAAAGATATTTTAGGATTTATTATTATACTAATAATATTAATTTTAATCTGTACTTTAGACCCTTATATTTTAGGAGATCCAGAAAATTTTAATAAAGCCAATCCTATAATTACTCCAATTCACATTCAACCAGAATGATATTTTTTATTTGCATATGCAATTTTACGATGTATTCCTAATAAGTTAGGAGGAGTTATCGCATTATTGATATCAATTTTAATTTTAATAACTTTACCTTTTACATTTTCAAGAAAAATAAAAGGATCTCAATTTTATTGAATTAATAAATTTTTATTTTGAATTTTTTTATTTAATTTTTATTTATTAACTTGAGCTGGAGCTAAGCCAATTGAATATCCATTTGTTGAAATTAGAATTTTATCTTCATTAATTTATTTTTCATTTTTTATTATTTTAAATCCTTTAAAAAAATATTTTGATAAAATTATTTATAATAATTAATAAAATAATAATAATAATAATAATAATAAAATATTAAATTTAATATTTAAATTATAATTTAAATTATTTAACTATATTAAGTTTATGTTTTGAAAACATAAAAAAGAATTCTATTCTAATAATTTAAAAAATAAATATTAAAAACTTTACACCTATAATAAAAATTAAATAATTTAAACTAATAGGTAAATAACTTTTTCAAGTTAAATATATTAAATTATCATAACGAAATCGAGGGTAAGTTCCACGAACTCAAATTACAAAAAATAATAAAAATAAATATAATATTAAAAATATTAATCTAAAAATATTAAAACATAAAAAAAAAATTAAAAATATTAATATTATAAATATAATTATTCCATATTCAGCAATAAAAATTATAGCAAATCTTCCCCTTAAATATTCAGTATTAAATCCAGAAACTAACTCTGACTCACCTTCAGCAAAATCAAATGGAGTTCGATTTAATTCAGCTAATAATCTTACAAATAAAATTAAAGCTAAAGGAAAATTTATAAAAATAAATAAAGAAAATTTTTGAAATAATATAAATTTATAAATATTAAAACTTTCAATTAAAAAAATTAAAGATAATATAATCAAGATTATTCTAACTTCATAAGAAATTGTTTGAACAATTCTTCGCATTCTTCCAATTAAAGAATATATTGAGTTAGAAGATCATCCCGCAATTATTATTCTATAAACCCCCAACCTAAGCAAACATAAAATTATTAATATTAAAAAATCATTATTTATAATTAAAGAAAAATAAGGTATATGCTGTCATAATATTATTATAATTAACATTCTTATAAAAGGACTAAATAAATATAAATTATAATTTGATTTTAACAAAAAATAAAATTCTTTTGTAAATAATTTAATAGCATCTCTAAAAGGTTGTAATAAACCTATAAATCCAACTTTATTAGGACCTTTTCGAATATGAATATAACTTAAAATTTTTCGTTCTAATAAAGTTAAAAAAGCTACAGAAACTAAAACTATAATAATTATAATTAAACTAATAATAAAAGAATGAAAAATTAAAATTATTACTTATGATTCTAAAAATCATTTATTTAAATTCTAAATTTAATATACTAATATATTAAAGTAATAAAAATATTAAAATTATTAATTTTAAATAAATAATTTAAAATATTAAGTCCTTTCGTACAAAAATATTTAAAGTTTATATAGATAGAATCCGATCTGGCTCACGCCGATCTAAACTCAAATCATGTAAGATTTTAAAAGTCGAACAGACTTAATAATTTTAATTTCTACATTAAAAATTTATCTTAATTCAACATCGAGGTCATAAAAATTTTTATCAATAAGGTCTTTCAAAAAATATTATGCTGTTATCCCTAAGGTAATTTATTTTTGATTTTTTAATAAAAGATAAATTATTCAAATAATTTGTTTTTAAAATAAAAATTTTATTAAATTTTTTAATTTCCCCAATTAAATTAATATAATCAAAAAATTATATAATTTAAATTATTAATTGAAATATTAAATAAAATTCTATAGGGTCTTCTCGTCTAATATAAAAATTTAAGAATTTTTACTTAAAATTAAGTTCAAAAATTTAATTTGAGACAGTTATTATTTCATTCAATCATTCATTCCAGACCTTAATAAAAAGACAAATGATTATGCTACCTTTGTACAGTCACAATACTGCAGCTATTTAAATTTTATTCATTGAGCAGATTAGATTTTTTATTATAATCAAAAAACCATGTTTTTAATAAACAGGCGAATAATTTTTTGCCTAATTCCTTAAATTAAATTATAAATTTTAATTTATTTAATTAATTTTTTTTACTAATTTTATCATTATAAATAAATTTTAATAATTTAAATTTATTATTTTATAATTTTTTAAATAAATTTTAAATTTTAATTAAATTAAACATTTTAATTATTAAATATTATTTATTAATAAAAATTTTTAATTCTATAAAAATAAATTTTTAAAAAATATATTAAAATAAATTTTAAGTTAATTCCTAAAATTTTTAAATTAATTTTAATGTTTAAATATTTAAAAATTTAAACAATTATAAATACTAATTATATATATATATATATATATATATATGTAT